GCGTGGACAGGCACTCTATCCTTGAGGCTAAAGGGCTACAAGCGATTGCTGGTAAACCAGGTTCGGAGTGTTGCGGCCGGGAAAACTTTTGTCAGACTGGTGGAAAGTCTTCTGTTCAGTAGATCGGCCGGTATATCTCCCTTAAACGGGAGGCTAATGTAAACTGGTTGGCGACCTGAACTAATGGTTCTTTGATTGGTAGCCAATGTCATCTCACTCGATCCCCTGTCCATTTGCACCATACTCATTCAAATATGTTCAATACCGCTCTCTTAACGTTTGCAATTGTACGACTTGAAAAGACCTTGCGAAAACATGTTCGTCAACTTTTAAGTTCCTATGTCAGTATGTTGTGCGTTATCGAAGAGCCTAGGATACCCGAGTATTGAAATGGTGAGATTTCGAATTTTGCAGATAATATCATACGGCAAAGTGATTCTATCTGAACGTCACTCACAAAGTCTATAACCCTTATATCTCCTGACTCTAGGGTCATTCAATCTAATCTGATGATGAGATTCCCGACCCGAATTAAGGCCACTTAAAACTGGACATCCAAAACTTGAGCAATAGAATCGGAGAAATTTGTACTCCCCAGGATACCTTATCTTTCCACCAAGACAGTCTAAGTCATTCTAGTACGAATGAAGATTCTTCAAGGAACTCATCACCACATACTTCAGCAAGGCCTGGGAGGTGATGACCTGAAAATGAAGAGTGATAAAAACAACTATCAGGAAGGCCAGATTCCTAAAGATTGTTCCAGAATACCCGAAATACTCTAACTCCACTAAACGCCAATCAGACGGCCTTGGATCCATTTCTGCCGTTAAGAATATAGTGTCATACGGCCTTGGATCAAGGTCAAATATTGTCCTTGAAAACAGAGCGTGAGGGTTCAAGCAGAATATGAGGTTGACACAAAGTCGAGGACTGAGGCCATCTAATGAGCCCAAAGAAGGGCGAAACCGGTCGTGGGCTGTCAAAGAGTTTCCAGTAATCTTGTGAAAGAGCGTGAGGCCGTTGTACTTGTACGCATTTGCGTGTTGCAATAAAGCTACTGTATTCCCTATCAGGGAATCTTTTTTCGGCACTGGGCACTTGAGCGAGAAGACGTTTGGGAATTTTTCAGTGAGGGTTCGATCCGATCTATGTTGGAAAACTGAAAGGCACAGCACCGCTGTTTCATTCTGATTGGAAGTTGTTCAGGAAATCTAAAACAGGTGACCTCCCCCCCATCCTACTACGTTAACTACGATTAATTGGTCAAATCTAGTTGTCAATTCTAATAAATTATGTCTAGTAATTTAAGCCAGTGGAATAAACAGATACTTACCGTTACTTGCTTTTTGTGCCGCGAGATGTTGCACTTCACCGGAGCCAATATCAGCTGATCTAAACAAGAAAACAGAAGTTGAGATGTTGTAATCCTGGCTAATGTAGTTGGAAAGATCATTTTGATTCTTACCTTCAGAATACTAACATGCAGGCTTAAACCGAAATATTGGTGGCTTGGGTGGTTGCTCGACACGATCTGTCTGCCGTCCATCCGTTTGACAGTTCGCTTCCAATCGAGAAGATATAATCAGTGCGAGAGCCAAATACCCAGCCTGGTGGACAGATCAGCTGCCACTCGGTCATGCACCAGCAAACCTCATTCAGTTCTTCACATGAACTTTCAAACAATCATTATTTTGTCTCTTTAGGTGTGATATCATGCAGTGACATGAGCGCCTGCATCGTCGTCACTGTTGTCGTGATCCACAGATATCCAAAGTTTGTTGTTAGTCAGTAAGGCTGGCGAAACCTCTCTAGACGCCCTGAAAATAACAGCTGAACGTATTCCATGTTGAGAAAGCCTTACTCACTGCCCTGTTTCGCTCATTATTTTGTTGAAGAAAAAGTCACTGGAGAAACCAGATGCCAGACATTTGAACCGGTTGGGCGGCTAACTGATGGGTCATCCATAGAGCCGGTAAAGCTAGCAAAATATCTACAAATGGCAGATGAAATAACCCCCGGATTTTTTGATGCCCTGCCGTGGCAACGGATGCTCACTTGGATATACAGTCAGGTCAAAGTGGATTTTTGGTACATTGCGCATCGTGATTTGTCATTCTCAGCAAAGAGTTTGGCCTTGTCTGACAGTGGCATCCGGAAGGATCCACCTAGAGCGAATCTATTGTTTGGCATCACCGCCCTCATTTTGCATACTGCCTACTCAGCTGAGGTGAGATCTTCTCGGATACAACTGAGTAGTCTGATTTCATAATTAGTAGCTTCATCATTTGTGTGAGTTTTCACAACTCAACTTTCATCCTCGAATAGATGTGACCGCATGTGACCTTGGTTGAGGTCAGTAAATCTTAGGTTTGCAGACTAGAATTAGGTGAGTGTGTTCTAAGTAGACGAAAGTTTGTTCGCACTCAATAAAAGCACAACAGTAAGCCATTACTTTAGCTAAATACACTAATTTGCAAACAAATTTGGTTCATCCGTGATCCAGCTGTATGTCTATTTCCAAACAACTGAACGTGCTGCAGCAGGTTGCCTCCTGATCCAGTTGCTACGACATTCGGGCTATTACGGTACATGTATAGAGGTATAACACTACTCATAGGGTTGTTGAAAATTCTTCGACATACCACAACCGATTTTGCCCTTTTTGTGGCTCATCGGGTAGGCACAGTCCCTGAGTTTCCGTCAACCTTATGTTCCACTTGAAACCAAATTGCACTGTTTTCGAGAAATACACTCATTTGCAGATCAATTTGGTTTTTTCGAGAGACTCAACTGAAACTCTCGTTTCTGATAGTCTACAACTGAATGTGCTGCACACAAGCCGCCTCATGTTTCAGTTGGAACGATATTCGAGATATCAAAGTACATTTTCATAAAGAAAACTACTCACAAGTTTACAGAAATCTCTTCGACAGCCCATGACTAGTTTTGCCCTTCTTGGGGCTCGTCAGATAGGCGCAGTCCATATGACAACCTGAGCATATCTGAGTCAACTTTCAATGAAAAGGACTGTGCAGAAGACTACCAATCTTACTGAAATACACGCTCGTTCTTTTATAATACTCCTTGATATGCTATGCTTAGGGAGTGTTTCTATGTTCGGTTTGATGTCCTGTATAAAATGATGGCCTCTCTGGGGTGCGAGATGGCTCAGTGGGGCGAAATGATTCAATAATTAGAGCGCGAGTTTACTGATCGGAAGGTTTCCTGGTTTGAACCCGACCTGTGCCTATCTACCTCCCTTGTTCCTGCTCTGGCAGCCTGACAGTACCTCAGCCCTCGTGGTTTCTTCTGGTGGCATGACACTTGAGCGCCGAAAGAGTACTCAACGATATGAGGAAAAATAAATTAAAATATGTAATTTCAAAATCTTCTGTCTGATGATGGTGTTGCTACGTCTTTCTTGAAGACCAAACTGCCACATTCAATTGACAGAGCAGCGAGTATCTGAACTAATTGGAACGGTTTCCTTTCGGTGGTTATCAATTCGTGTGTATGCTTTGCTGATACCAATGTCTTGGCAACAAATTCATTCAATCCGAATTCCCCTTCTCCTGACAGAAATTCTACCCTGACTGGTCAGTTACTTTCACGTGACTGAAGGCACATACCGTGAGTTTTGCTTTACAACAAGAAAATCTGTTTCGATAATGCTGGATACCGTGCTAATTTAGACATGAGACAGCCTTTGTGTATCAAATTTGAATGTCATCCATGAAATGTTGGAAACTTGGAGACTATGCTGATCTATTTGGTCAAAAAACGGCGAAGCCGTTCGTGGAACGTAGATTACTTTTTGGGAAACTTAGTAATTGTATTTTTTGTATTCAACAACTGATCACTGAGTCTATAGTTGTCCTGGCCTTTTTCGATGGGGCACATCTGTCATAAGGTTGCTGAAAACTCTTCGACAGCGCATAACCGGTTTCGCCCTCTTTTCAGGGTTGTTAGTTAAACACAGTCACCGAGCTTCTGTCAACCGTATATTCTGCTGGAAATCTAACAAAATTTAATAAATGAACTTATTTTCACATTATTCCGGTCCTCATGGGAGACTTGACTGAAACCTAGCTGAATTTCTGGTGTAACGGTGATACTGCTGATGGGGAGGCATACGAGTAATCTGTGTTGTTCGTGGAATTTCACTTTGCGTCTCTTGAACAAAGGACCTGTCCAATGGTCTGCAACCGGTCAGGTGGTATTTTCTAAGAAATAACTCCACAGATGCGTCATCAAGGTACGGGTGTAACGGTGATACTACTGATGGGGAGGCACGCGAGTAGTGTGTTGTTCGTGGAATTTCACTTTGCGTCTCTTGAACAAAGGACCTGTCCAATGGTCTGCAACCGGTCAGGTGGTATTTTCTAAGAAATAACTCCACAGCAAAGGCTCTCTTCCTTTCACTGGTAGTGTATTACATGTGTGCAGTTTGTTGGGATATCTCGAACATAATACCAACTGAAACATTAGGCAACTTAATATAACCTTTCCAGTTGAGTAGGAACATGGTGAACGAGAGATTCAGCTGGGATTCAGGTGAGTCACCCTGTCAAACCAAATTGGTACGCAAATAAATGTATCCGTGCAGATTATCCCGATTGCTGTGTAAATGTCGGGCATGTTTCATCAGCATGTGAATGTCAGCTTAAACTACAAACGGTTCAGTCTGTTCGAATTGAATGCCAAATCGCGATGTAATCAGATTAGCTGTGACACTCCGAAACACTTTGGTGTGTCACTGTGACATGGTCAACGAAACTGCTGCCGCGTTTCCCTCTAGCCTATCCAATCAAGTCATTTGTTCGGCCTGAATGCGATGATTTGTCAGAGCAGTTGAACTTATCGGAAACAGGCCGCTATCCTGGTCAGAAACGGTGATGACAGGGGTCGCTAAGCTAGTAAGGAATATTCTAGGATCTACACAGGATTTGGCTTAAACAGGGCTCATAGGTGAACTTCGTGCAGTTTGTTGAGATAAATTACCTCGGCGTTTCGATTCTCTGACAGTTTGTTCGAATAATGGTGAATATCTTGAGGGATAGCTCCGTGACGACAATTGCGGGAGGTAGGTCCGTGGTGTGCTGTGACAAAGATCCTCCCAAGAACACGTTCTTCACTGGTAATGTCGCATTCAGTTCAAGGAGGAAGCGGAATGGCGCGTTGTGGGAGATCGCGTGTTTTGGAGCACGGTGTACGAACGGTTGACCTGGGGTGATTTGTTGGTCCACAACTTGACCTGGATGAGTTGAAGTCAATGCAAATCCGGTGGCCATGATCAGCAATCTGCCACTGTCTGAAATACATTAGAGATATTTACGGATTTCTGATATGCAGTTAGCTGCTTATGAGGTGTATTGGCAGTTTAAACTAACTTTTCCCCCTGAGCGCGCTGAGCAGCAGGGTAGACATACGAAAATAATCGGTAGTTGAAAGTTTTGAATGCAGGCGCAAATGTCGGAAAGCAAGTTTTTATTCCGACTGTATAGCAGAAAGTATGTACTCATATGGATACAAACTGGTCATTCACTGGTAGTGAGGAAAACTCTTCCTAAGTCCTGGTTCGTCTGATCGTTATGTCAACTTTGTTTCGGGCCTACAAGACAGACTTTAAGCGAAGAACGGCTGAAGCCTCGGTAAACCTAAGAACACATGGGTTCAGGCAGTTAACTCTGAGTTCTCTTGCAGCTGTATGTTAAGACCGTTTAGTCAGCTTGGAAGAGAAGTTTCATAAGGAGTTACTTTTTGCACTCTGTGTCGCTGGTTTGATGCAATGTCCTACGTTTGCCGTTCCAGTTAGCAATCATAAAGTTCCTCGGGGAAGACAGATACCGATACCAAGGACTCAACATGAATTGCATTCACCCACCAATTTTCATCTCATTGCTGTGTGGTGTCAAGGTTCCCTACATGAGACACGAAGTGAGGCATCAGAAAAATCGGTTTTGGAATACAATAATTCTGTTCCTTGATCATTATCAGTTCATGAGTCTTAGTTCCCAGTTGAATCATTATTATCATCATCATCATCGTCATCATCGAAAGTATGACATCAGTGTTCAGTACCGATGCTTCACTGCCGTATGATTTGGAGATACCTGAGGATGTCAGCGCTATTTGACGAGCGGATGCTTCAGCAGTAGCCTGTTTTCGCTTACCCGCCCTGCTGTATGCAGCAAGTAAGGCGAACCGGCTGATGGCACCACGCGACGGCCGATGTGGCATGAGAGTATTGTTAGTTGTGTAGGTCATGGTTTTACGAGGGCTGGGATACTGCCAGGGCGCCCACACCTAGACAGGAGGACGATTAGGGTCCTCAACCAAAGCCTTTGGCTCAAAAGCCTAACCGCAAGGCAGCGGTGTTTGGCGGGAAATGCAAATGCATTGCCATTTCTACGGAACAAGTCGCCACATGTTCCAACCCCCAACCTGGAGGGCCAGGAGACTGTGTTCGTCAGACCTCTAACCATTGACCGACCTGGTATGAGAGACTCTGTGAGTGTCACGGGGTCACTCCTCAGCATAGCTCAATGTATCGCTGAGGTGCGCAAACCGTCACACCACGGAAAGATTCACTGTCGGTTCGTGAGAGTTCCTAGTTAAATAGAAGGAGGTATATTTGGGGCCGAGCACCAATCCGCAAATTCAGCTAGTCAATGTGACACTCGAGTTTGAATGGAACGAATCATGATTCTGCGACGTTCTTCTACCAAATATGTTGCATACAAGCTGTCTAGGACTCCCTTTCATGTTATAACAATACATCTCTCTGTTACCATGGTAGAAATCAAGATCTAGGGACTGCGTCTACCTAAGTAGCCCTGACAATGAATTAGTTTGTCACGAAAGCACATTTGAGCGTAGTGAATATCGTCACAGCTACAATGCACGGCAACACACGTTCCACGTATCATAAATATCTTGTTCGCATGGTTCTTCTCATCACTTGAGACGAGAAATACCTAAGAAAGATATACAATTTGTGTAGTATTACTCTGTATATGGATGTAAGCATTTCTTCCACAAGAAGTGTCCACATCCGTTTACCGTTTCCTGAATACTACTCATGGACACTACTCAGCTTTTCATAGCCTTTAAATGTGCCTTATTTCCACCTTACAATGAAGTATTTATTCGTAAATGCAATTGCTACTAGCTACTTGAATTTATTAAGAAATCCAACGTGTTAAGGGCTTTTACTTGGCTTTTGGATAGACCCCAGAAAGTGCAACCCTTTGTCACTCACGGAATCAAGCAAACTCTACAACTCTGGAAGCCTACCATCCAGTGACGGGCAGATTTATGCAACGCACACGGAACGTTTTTTGTAGCTTTAATGATATATCGCCTGTGATTGGTTACGTTTCAACGAACCACGTTGGCAATAACCAGGGCTTGTTCTTCCAAACACATTGCATACACAAATGTTTATTTACCCTGCCATTGGAAACCGTGTAGTCAATGGTTCTACCAAAGACGAACACATCCTGCAGACAGAGTAGGAGAACTACTCATAAAATTGTGCGCTATGGCGAACACATCCTGCAGACAGAGTAGAAGAACTACTCATGAAATTGAACGCTATGACGGAATCAAGTTTTTTCGAAGCACCCTCAATGCTTGGATGCCACATCTCAAAGCCGACCGCCACGACATCGTGTTGTGCTCCAGCGCAGCCCGTAAAAATCAACATTCTCAAAAATTCATTTCATCTGCATGTGTTAGACTATAGACTACCTGTCTGGTGGTTTAGCTTAAAAACTGTCATAAACCTTCACCAAGCTTTGAGCGTACTCAATGATTGATCCGCAGGTGAAAGCTGCCATTCAGATCGTCCCAGTGTTGGCGAGCTACGTGTTTGTAGAGGAAAGGAAAGACAAATCAAAAGTGGAACATTTTTAGGGTTGCCGGAAAACAAGATCTAAGCAGGGGCATTGAAATCAATAGACATTCTTGATATGAGCCAGTCCGAGGGAAGGCCCTCAGTGCTTGCATACCACATCTCAAGATGTCTCCTCGAATGGTGACGAAACGTTTGCAAATCAATTGCCAAGCTCGGCGAACAGATCAACAGCCACCTGATCAATTACCAGAATTTACACTATCCGAGTCAGCTGTCAGGGAGACTCTCTTCCGTCAGTATAGTAACAATATTCCGCGCAGCTGATTACAGTACCGGTTTCTATCGGAAACAAAACAAAATACAATCACCGTGGAGGAAAATTAACCAGCTGAGTGATGAATTAGGTGGCTTTTTGGTGGTTTCGACAGAACTTATGACACCGCGTCTGAAGAAGAACGCGCCAGACAAATAAGTGTTTTCATTGATCCATTTTCTGGCTGATATATATATATAAATATAACATATATGACTAGGCGCAATAACAACGCAACCTCTGCGGCTTACTTTTTATGTGAAGCCAATTCGTGCAAAAAACGGGAAGCACTGTCCAGCTGTTTCATCTTTATTGGGGATCATCAGAACTGCTTATTTTCACGGACTATCAGTGAGTGCGGATATTATGGACCACCGTCTCCTTAATGCCTTCTTATTACCATGAACCCCGGTCTGGATAGCCGATCGATAGCCTGGTGCGCTTGGCCAAACCAGAAAAAGTCAATGCTCCATTGATAAGTGTCGCGTACAAGCGGGTCAAAAAAGTGATACTCAGAATAAAACTCATCTGTCAAGGACGAGTGAAGAACAACCAATGAAATCTGTCTCAAGGAAAACGGTCATTCCATTGGCTTTTATATGGTCCCATGGAACCCATGGTACCGCAGGCTAACAGACCGAACATAAAACCGTTCACTCACGAGCGGCTGACTATCAGTATCATCAGCTTGCCCTTGGACAAACCATAGCGCCATTCATCCACCAATCACGGAAACACGTGGTTTCACCTGTTGGCTAGCTCCTTGAGTGGCAACTTTTCAGAAAGTAGTTTCATTCACGAAGGTAACTACTCACAAGGTTGCTGAAAACTCTTCCTCAGCAACCTTGTGAGTAGTTTCCTTCATGGAAATATACTGCGATATCTGGAAGATCGTGCCAACTGAATCATGAGGCGGCCTGTGTGCAGCACATTGAGTTGTAGGATATCATAAACGAGAAATTCAGTTGAGTCTCTCGTGAAAACTAAATTGATTTGCAACTGAGTGTATTTCTCGAAGAAGTTTGATTCATATTGTGAAACTACTCCTTCTCTTAGCGGTGGAGGTCACGGTTCAGAAACTTGTTGCGCACCACTACTAACTTCCACTAAGAAGAGAGCATCTGTGCAGTCAGTACTTATTGGGTTTTAAGCATAGAGTGGGCTTCACCTCAACAAAAGTTTACCAAAGCTCCCTGGAGCTACCGTCGGTCATCTGTGGTAGACCTTACGTCCGTTGTACTGTAATTGGTTCTTTTCTGTGTCTCGGCAAAATATTACTGAACCACTGAAAACAAGTGTTCAGCCAACGTATCCTTGTCAGTCTGACAAGCTTTCAAATCTTCAGGCGTTTGAAGTCACCACCAGACATTGCTGTGGATGTTTTTGCTCGTAATTTAATCTGACCGGTGGTGATTTCTGTGGCAGATTGTTTTCAGGTTGCAATCAACCGAAATGGCTGAATTGCTCCTGGATTCCAGCACAACCTCACTCGTCCACGGACACACAACGAGTGGTCAGATTAGTATTTCGAAAGAGAGAGGGCTCAGTCAAGGCCCAGCGTCTACAGAACCACACGTAAAGCACTTGTCGATGTCTCCTTCTCTCTGGGGTTGAGAATCCATTGTTTTAAATTGCTTTATAAGTGAGTCTCAGATGATGCTATCGGAAAACGTGCGTCAAGGTCGCCGGATTCAATAACCTTGTGGAATGTGGTTCATTTTTGGTTTTAGACTATGGAGATCACAGGTAAACAATGTTGCTGATGTTTATGGGCTTCCAGAGGCGTCAACTCTATCGGCTGGATGGTCCAAGTTACCAACAGGTACACAATGGGCGACTTACTTAAAAGCCGTTCTTGCATTGGTGCAGATATCATTCATCGCTTTACTATCAATGTTTCTAATGACGACCAGATACTATTGACAATGCGTGCAGCGTCGTGCATATGCTGGTGAGACGAGAGAAAACTTCACTGGCCAATCAGCTCTCACCCTGGAGGCAGCCAATCGTTTGTAGTTCAAGTCTATGTGTGACTCACCCATTTCACTCTGTCCTCGGAGAACTCTCTTGGGAGGGGCGGCATCGCGTTTCGCAGTTGCCTACGTCAGAGTGAGAGTAGGCCAGAGGCCCTGGTAGGCGCATCACAATGTCGTTTGAAGTGGGTCGGTAAAAAGACCAAACGGAATATGTTACCTGATTAAAACTCTGAGCATATCCCAACATAAACACAGTTGCCTGGACGTGGGGTTCAATCGTATAGAGCCAATCACCTAAATGACACGACAAACGTGTGGTCATTCCCTAGAACTGGACGCACCTTGGAGCGCATTCGAGTTGGCTTTCCTGGTACATCTCAACAACCAGGAAACACAACACCACGTTCACGTGTTACTGCGGTCGATCTGTTCAGATAGTCACGTGCTGTGTACAGAGAAATTGAGAAGATCCTCGAATTGGTGGTTTTAAACAAAACTGCCATTTTTGCTGTGTCAAGTAATGTTGAATGATGCCCGTAATCGGTTTAAACAAGTGTCATACAGTTTAGCACACATACTGGTCACAAATTTCCTTAAACCTGGATTATGTGTACCACAACTGATACCCGAGTTGATCCCCATTGTTTCGCAGTGAAACTGATAAATTTTACCCCTCATCTGCCAAGCAGATGTGGTACACTGTTTGAAACGTGTCTTCTTACCTTACAGACGACGATTCTAGTTTGGTTACGAAGACCGTGAGTTGAACTTTAGACACTGAGCACGGCGCATGACCACGCCCAACACCGTTTCCTTCGCTACCTGTCTGTTATGTGGACAATGTAAACTGGGGTAAAACGTAAAAGTTAGCCAATACTGACCCGTTCCTATGTGGATGACATCCACACCATCGCTAATTGCCCATTTCACTGTCATGCTTGTCGGCAGATCCAAGACACCTTCGACTGTATGGGGTAGGGTGAATGCACTCAGAGCGTTACCAGTAAACCGACGTGTTCCATCTGGAAGGGATTCAAACGCCAGTGCAGAGCTCGCTATCAGTGGATGTAGTGTGGCGAACCGTGCGTAGTATTCAGGCAACGGTGTTGGGGAACAAGTCTGAAAATAAAACAAGTGGAATAGCAGACCACGTGTGACTTCTTGTGAAGAAGGATATCCTAAAATGCATTGATCCGAGCCGGATTACTAGTGTAACGGTGATACTACTGATGGGGAGGCATGCGAGTAGTATGTTTTGGTCTCGTGAATTCGCTTTGCGCTGTGGAGTCATTTCGTTGCATTTGCTTGGATTTGAGCAATGAACGATTGGAGTCAAGGAATATCCAGGAGAGTTCAAGAAGATGCTTTCAGGAGAAGATGGATGTTCAGTTTTTGTCAATAAGATGCAAATGAGAGTTTTGCTTCCCTGTCCAATAGTCTGTAAATGTTCAGTTGGCATTTTCTAAAAAATAGCGTCGCAGCGAAGGCCTTCTTCCTTCCACTAGTAGTTATTTGATTAGATTGAAGTATCGTGACTCAATCCGTGCTGTATATGAAAAAGAGTAGACATCAAACCCATTACCCATTCTCCCCTTCTCTGAAGTTTTTTTTACAAGGTATAGGAATATAGTTTCTCAGAAAAGACTAGAGTGAACCGAATCCCGTTTATCAAATTTCTGCAGGACGAGAAAAAGTATTTGAAACTGGTAAACATTTACGCATAGTTTGATGTACGTAAATCTTTCAAAACATATGCAAGCATATGTGTATAAGTAACGTGTTTCCACTGTCCATTTAGGCGCCTCAAGTCTGGCTGTTTTCTAATACCAGCAAAAAAGCTGTCAAAAAATAAGGTGTATGATAGGGAATCGCTTACATATCCTACTCAAATCCTATGCGACCCGACTAGTCCTCTGAGACTCGAAAACTTCTGTAATATAAGCAATTCTGGATTCAGATGAAAACAAAGAACACACACTAGTGATGTATGATCGAGTAACTTGTGGTATTGGGCAGTTACAGCTTGTTTAAAGCAGACGCTTTTTTCCCAAAAGTGTTTCCACTGTCCATTTAGGCGCCTCAAGCCTGGCTGTTTTCTAATACCAGCAAAAAAGCTGTCAAAAAATAAGGTGTATGATAGGGAATCGCTTACATATCCTACTCAAATCCTATGCGACCCGACTAGTCCTCTGAGACTCGAAAACTTCTGTAATATAAGCAATTCTGGATTCAGATGAAAACAAAGAACACATACTAGTGATGTATGATCGAGTAACTTGTGGTATTGGGCAGTTACAGCTTGTTTAAAGCGGATGCTTTTGGATTTTCCCAAAAAAAAATGCTTCGTTTTTTCCGAATCGATCAAGTTTGTCCAGCAACCAACATCTTAAAGGCAAGATTGCTCTGTAAATACATCCGACGATCGCGCAGCCTTAGATGGTTGTCACCAGCGTGTCAAACAGTATAGTCGAAGCGTTGTTAAATACCAAATGTCATGAGATTCTCATGAAGCACCTGTTGTGTACCGCAACACCATACCCTACCCCTGGGTTGGATCAACCCCCGACCACTTTTCAGGCTAGTCCTTGAAGTAGAAGGAAGTAGAGGAAAACTTGCTACGAGAATACACGAACACAAGCTTGCCAGCAAAAGACATGACCCAATGTCGCTCGTCTCATATCACGAAGACAGAGAAGGACACACGTTCAATTGGGACAATGTTCAAATACTCGCTCACGCAAGAACAAAACGGGAGCGAGAATTTGCCGTGGTAATTCGTGGTAATTCGCACAAAAATTGATCAATAAACACATCCACATTGACCCAGTCTATCAGCCGTTACGAGCGAAAGAACCACACAATCATGGGACTCGGAGCCAAAAAACCTAACGGCAACTAACGGATTAATTGGGTCAAAAGAAGGCGATCACAAAAAACAGAAGGCCGATGAATCAACCAATCAAATGAGCAAAGCTCCCACCACAAAACACCAGAAAGGAACTTTACTCTGGCAGAAGATCATCGCAGTCAATCGAAGTAACAACGACCCTTGAACCTTCCCAATCACACTTCAATGTTGTCTGTGGAATATTGGAGGAGAATCCAGAATGCATTCTGATCAAAGACAATGAAATTCACCCACTCAACTCTGCACTGACGATGTCACCTCGATTGGTGATGAAACGTTTGCAATCCATGCACCAAGCTCGGCGAACAGACCAACAACCAAACAACGCACCCGAGCTACCTACATTCCACAACATTGCTAGCGGAAGGTTAGTTTGGGATACCAAAATGTACAGATCACTCCCAGTTTCATCATTCAAAAATTCCATCGTTCCATGTGGGAAGTTTGAAAGACACGTTTGCTGTGATGTGGTATTAGGAATTTGGAAAGACACGTTTGCTGTGATGTGGTATTAGAAACTTGGAAGCTGTTCTGAATAGTCACGTAAGATACAAACCTGAGGTTTGAACTGTTCTTGACTCGAAAAAGACCCGTACGCTGTTTGGGTCACATAAGTGCGGGTGGTGAAGCCCGGCTTACTCATCGAGTTCAGCAACACTCCTTACTATAGGGAAAACTGACAGCTGAAAACCAAGCGAATCAATAAATTATAAATAAAAAATTACTGGACAGTAAGTGCGTCCTCCGAGGAATTACCATCGCCCGTAATACAGGAGAGACTGGCGGTTCGGCACCCTGAGAAGTTGAGTTGGGAAGTCGGTGTATAACGCATCAGAAGGACACCGATTTACAAACTACACTGGCTGTCCGCTGGGCTTTTATTCCCGATTTCCTGGTCTTTCCGTGATTCGGTTTTATTGATTTTTCTCTCGTTTTACCGTTCTATAGTTTTCTTCACGTAAACTTGAACTGCCCGTTCCGGTGATCTCAGTTGCCTCCAGTACTCACACTGCTCGATTCTCTACAACGCCTCACACCACTCCATCATCGCTACCATCTCAACGGACTTCCAGTTTGAATGACTCACTTTCAGTTCGTTCTCGATGGAGTTGTTTTGGAGGTGACTACCTTCGTTATGCCGACCTAAAACGACGAGCCACCCCTGGTTGCTTTGTTAAATGGCGACGGTGCCATGTAATATGCGCATCCGTGATCCACAGCTGCACTTTCAGTTCGTTCTCGATGGAGTTGTTGTGGAGGTGACTACCTTCGTTATGCTGACCTAAAACGACAAGCCACCCCTAGTCGCTCTGTTAAATGGCGACAGAGCCATGTAACCATTGCAGGCATGATCCACAGATACAGGATAGTTCATAATCTTTGAGCTGTAGCATCCTTTTGGTGCCTAACTGCCATGCCACCGGAAGAAGGCACGAGAGCTGGGATACTGCCAGGTTGCCCAGGGAGGGGAAATCGAGAGGTTGATGTCGGGTTCGAACTACGGACCTTCCATTCAGTAAATTCGCACTCTAACCAGTGAGCAATCTCCCACCTCCATGTCACACCCCTCTATCCTTCAGTAAGCTTGTTTCCTCCTCAATCAAAACGTTGTTATATTATACTCCCAGATTTATTCGGGTAAATTCATCTCATATATGATGTTCGCTCTTCTTCATCCCCAAATGCACGAACCAACATCTATCTTGACCAATTTCCGGGCAATATTCTTTTGCTGACTAGGGGGCACGCGTCAGTTATCAAACTTTTATTTGTGAATTTGGTGTGTGTCTACAGGTTCTTTGCATTTTTGCCCTGGATGGTTCAGTTAATTCCCCGTTTTTTTCAAGGCTGAAAAGCTGACATCTTGCCAACGACGGCTACATTCCTCCTTTTTGCTATAAAAATTGTGTCACTATCCATGTATTGATAAAATCGATAAAGATAATGAAATGACGTTCAGTCGGGTCTTTGTCTTGCAGGCCGAGTCATTTTATGCCAACAAAAACTGGAAAAATGTAAGAGCTCTTTCGTCCTCATCAGTATGCATCTCACATGTCTTTAGCGTGGTCAGAACTCACAAAATCCCGTAAAGTAGATGAACCCCATACCGTTTGGCCAAGAGTGGGGAATCAGCGGTGTGACTGAGTCACAGTTAGACAGGGTCTAATGCCACTGATCCTTCAATGAGAGGAACCCAATTCATGCGGTCACTTGTCGACTGATCCCTTGAGTGATGCCTCTCAGATATGAGGTTCACATGACACGTAAGTTTTTGACCTACTGTATCACTGATCTTTAGTCAGAAGGAATATACCAACATGTATATCCGTAATTCATACCAATAATCCCGGTACGTCAATAGAATAGACCTGTGCTGTAGTGCTTGAACCGACCATCCGGAAATCAGGCCGTGCCGCAATTTATCCTGTCTGAAAGAATTTAGAAGTTCAGTCGGGCTCCCAATCCTATCCAAGCTTTATCTTCTCCAGGTTCCTGAAATTCAGTCCGGCTTGAGAAATCCCCAGCGATATTGGAGACATCTGAGCGACATTCAACATGGGCTCACCCCACTGGCTACATGTTGCCAAATGTCCAGCGTGTGTTCATTAGCTGCTATCTTATCTGGTGAAATGGACTTGGGTTCTCTAAATTGTTCGCAGACACTTAAATGTGAAAGATATGGAAGCCTTCCTTCAAAACTATACATGTATGGTCCCCTTCGAGCACAACCAAAGCGTGTTGAGCGGCCACGCGGCATCCAAATGGCGTTGTCTTCCAGATGGAGAAATTCGTTGCAGTATTTCTAAGATACATACTCCCTCCCACCGTTTTCTTCCCGTAGTTCAGTGGCTTGATTTATGTCACTTTTTATGCCCCATTGTACCGTTTCGGACGCGATTATGTGGTAGCCATCTACAGAACACCGTCCCTTTCAAGGTCACGTGGACCTATTGGACTTTTACCTGAGAGGCTCTTGTCCTCTAGCCAGAGGCCCGAGTCACGAACTTTCCGGTCAGTAAGTGCTCACCTCATCCACCAAGTCATCTGGAGCTCATCTTCCATTGTTTTACACTGGTGCAAGCCTATTTACTTCCAACTTTACGCATCGAGTTTCACACTGCGGTTATGAACTGTATGATTCTGCGGTTCTCTCGAAACAGGTCGAATCTGAAACCCTCAAATTCTTTCCGCGTTCCTGAAACTTGCACAA